CAGAAAAGCCAACACACCACAAGCATACCCACACCACAATAACAATCATCGATGATGACCTACGCCTTTCAGTTAAAAGCATCCCCTTGACATCATGCATTACAATCGCCACTTGCTAGAATGACTCTTGCAGAATGCAACGTGACCAAAGCAGCACCTTATGATACTCTTCACACATCCTCTTATCTATTCAGCACCAATTACCACTGCAATCGCTTGTCAATCATTCTGCCTCAGTTCTACTAACGATGACGTACGCAAGCCTCAGCCGTCTACAATACCGCTCCCCGGCGTGTGGGACCGCAGCTAACGATTATCTCCGTATGCATGTCATTCTCACCAATAGCCTTCCCGGCGTATACGACCCATCTGCTGTCTCTAACATCAATCAATTCATTCACGGATGTAGAAGACAAGAAACAACTTCAGAAGTAATCGCGACGAAAATTATAACAAAATTACGCAATAACAACAAGGTACGAAAACAACGAGTAAACGCAATGAATCCAAAAACACCAATTGATATGACACACCACACATATATACAAACAGTACACACAAACTCGCAGATCGTGTCTCCATGGAATTCCTTTGAAGAATCGCAGGACTTACACCAGTACGCCTACAACCCTTCACAGGTTAACAATTGTAAGTTGTGGAATGTACGGACATAAACAAGATTAACCAACAATTACAATAATTGGAACTCACACAATTATTTAACACAAACATATGTACAATCAACACATCAAATGTGGTGGATTCTGCCTTGATGAACTACCCTTGAAGAACTGTAGGACTTACAGCAGTACTCCTACAACCCTTCTCAGGTTGACGCTCTAGGTTGTAAAATCGTCACAGAGTTCATTTGCTGACTTCCCTCTATCAGCCATATCCTCAAATCTGAACGCTAACACGCCCGCGTCATTGTATCGTAGAATATAGATGACTAGCAAACACACGACGTATCTGGTCAACCAAGCGTAGAAACAGAGTAATTTACACCAGCGTTAATAACATTCAAATAGCAATTTGAACCTAGAAATGCCTTTATTCATGCAAGTCAATTTAACAATTACTCTCTCGTTTACACTTAATAATAATAATAATAGTATATTCTCCTTTTTACATGAGGGACGCCAGTTTACAGGCATCATCAATGTGATAAATTAGATATGATAAATTACATCTACGATTAGCAATCATACTCAATAATGTTTTAATAAAATACATATTTTTTCCTTCCTGCGTAGGACACACCAAATGTACAGGCATGGATAAGCATTATTTAAATTCCATAAATTCGGTTTATGGTTAAATTACATGGTTGCTGACGTTTTCGTCTTTGGTTTGTGGAAACAATATGATAACCAGTCATTCAATGGAACACATCATGAAATATAGAAATATTGTCTTCGCATTAACAAAAAAACCCAAGTATGTTTTGGATGGATTACAAATACTTGGGAAAAAATAAAGCTTGAAGTAATTCCACAATATAACTTAGGTGTGTACAAATCCGAATCTCATTTTTGATTTGATTTATATCCAAATTGGGTAATAAGGAAGCTATTTTTACAGATACGATCAGTTATGTTATAAGTTACAATCGTGACGTTGTATTACAAATTGATACTTTTCCATTGGTATAAGAGTATATTCCACAAATGTAATCCAGGTTGCGTCGTGGGGAAAGTTAATTCGTTATTAACTAGGCAACTGAAAGATACGGGACCAATAATGTTTGCAGATCATTTGTCATTGTAAATGGTCAAATATCCACATTATTCATTCTCATTCAAAAAGTCAAATGGAAGCTGAAATGGTGAGAGAAAAAAGAAGACAAACAACAGCAACGCAAAAGAAAGCAACGGGAGTCCTTAAGGAGTGATTAATAAATTTATACATACATATTCTGTTTAGTAACTGTGGTTATTTTGGTACACAAACTAACTAGTCCCGTTATGCTAACTTTTATATTATGTGTAAACTAATATTACTGTCCTGTGTAGAAATGTTTATCATCTAGTTCCAATAATATTAAAATTTATAATTGTAGTTTGTTGTAACTACACGTTTAAAGAACTTAAAATATCTATGTAGGGTGAAAAAGAGGGTGTAAGAGTCAGATGTAGAAGTGCATTGTCATCTTTGAGCAGTCTGGTGACTGAGGAGATGAACACTGGAAGTGTGTTTGCATCGCGCACATTAGCTGGTAGTCTATTCCAAATGACTGAAAACTTATTTAAGAAGAAGTTGTACCGCACGTAAGTCTGACAGTGCTCTATAGCAGCTAGGTTGTGATGATTTCTAAGATTGTAACTGATGACAGCGGTAGGTTTAGTTATTGGCTCGGAGGAATGCAAGAGAAGATTAGTTAGCTTGTAGTAAAAGATAAGGTTTAGCTTAAGGCGTCTTTTCCAGAGGGGTTCTAATCTTAGTCTTCGCATCGCTCATGGTATTCCAGACCACTTTCTAAACCAAGAGTTCTTGAGGTAAACTGCCGTTGCACTCCCTCTAATTTAAGCTTGTCATTTTGTCTGAGTCCGCTAAGAATAAACGGGCAGTATTCTAAGATAGGTCGGACACATACTTTGTATAATAAAACCCTAGTTTCACAACAAAAGAAATTGCGTGTTATGCATCCTATCAGCCTTCGTGTTTTACGTCTGGCATAATCAGTCTGTTCAGCGAACGTTAGGTTACTAGAGTATCTAATACCGAGATCTACGACTGAGTTGAGCTTAGCTAGTTTTCGCCCATTTATTTCAAGAGTTAGATCAAGGTTACTGTTGCCGATACAAATCCAGCCGCATTTGTCAATGTTAAAGTTTAGACAGGATTCAGCACACCATGTTGCGAGACTACTTAGTTCAAGATGTATTTTAGTAACCATATCGCTTAATTCATGAGTGTAGCAGGAGTAGACGACTTTGAGGTCGTCAGCATATAGGAATGGTTTACCTGAGGTGAAGCACTTGCAAATGCTGTTAATGTAGACTGTGAATAAAAGTGGACCTAGGACACTACCTTGCACAACCCCACTTGAGATCTGCCTAGGATGAGACAATACAGATCCAACTTTGGTTATTTGTACCCTGTTGCTTAGAAATGATTTTAACCAGTTCAGTAATGGGTTGCGAATTCCACAAGAGTACAGCTTCTCAAAGAAAATACTGTGAGATACCATGTCAAATGCCCTAGATATATCGAAGTAGAGAACAACGACTAGCTTACGTGCTTCGCGACTACTAGTGATGCAGTTGAAAAAGTCGAAGTGGCAAGTAACGCAGGATCTATTTTTGAGAAATCCGTGTTGAGACCTTGTAACAAGATCTTCCCTAATTAGGTAGTCTGACAATTGATCTTTTACAACTTTCTCCATGATTCGTGAGATAACTGGGGTTATATTTATGGGTCTGTAATTGCGGACGTTTGCCCTATCACCAGATTTGTAATGTGGAATTATGAAGCTAGTTTTCCACTCACTAGGGTAAGTGCCAGTGTCCATAGATATTGAGAAGAATTTAAGAAGTAACAAGGGTATATCACACTCACTGTTTTTGAAAATTATCGAAGCGAGGCCATCCGGTCCCGTACTAGTGGAAGGTTTAAGGCTTTTAATTGCTTCTACTATTAGTTGGTTATTGAACACAATGCTTTCAAGGGAAGAGCTAGTAAGGGGGCGGTTTAACCAGGCATATGTTTTTCTTAACTAAAGTTTGCAAACCAATCACTGAAAAGTTCACAGATAGTGGCAGGCTCAAGTGCCGTTAACTCTTCGCCGAGGTCCTTTTGAGAGCGTAGGCGCTTGATAGATTCAAGAGACTCGTGGATTGAGAGCAATAGTGATATATCCTTGGTGGAATAGTACTGTTTCTTCAGCTTCCTTAACTTATTACGGTGTGCGCTTGGAATATATTCAGCTCGGTGTCTACTTATTTTCACTATTTTCTTTGGAGCAACTGTATCCAGACAAAGGGTAACATTCCTGTAAAACAGGGTTACTACGGCCTCCAGGGAGCCAGTGGTAAAATAGTCATCCCATTGACAGAGTCGAATGAGTTCTTGGACTAATTCCCAGTCTGTATATTTGTAACTACGACATATTGTGCTTTCTGAGTCTTGTTTGTTTCCTGTATTTAGTGGTGAGAAAGGCAGAGAGCAGAGTACCATTCTATGGTCACTACTGGAAAATCTATTACCAACATAAGTGGAGACTGGGATTGTGTCATGACAAAAAACAAGGTCCAACATGTTGTCACCACGAGTGGGTGTCTGGACGTGTTGTTGCTGTCCATAACAGTCGATAGTGGCAAGTAATTCGTCGAAGCGTTGGGGGCCGGAACTAGTTAGCCAACTGACTTCTGGAAGATTGAAGTCCCCAGCAATTACTTTGTAATTAGCACTGAACGAGGAGGCGTGTGCGAACGATTTAGCTAATAACGCATCAGTTTCTTTTGTTGCGCTTGGTGCTCGATAAACACAGCCTATGAGAAGTTTGTACTTATCTCCATGTAAGACAACCCAGAGTGAGTCAGGTACATTATTCATTGTTTCATCTTCCACCTTACTGACTACAAATGAGTTATGTATATATATGAGACATCCTCCACCACGCTTGCAATCTCTGTGTGCACGGTGTACAGTGTAATCATCAATACCTATATGAACATCAAGTACAGAGGATGAGCACCATGACTCAGTAATCAGAGCTACAGTAGGCTTGGCGACTAATAATAATGTCCTTAGTTCAGATATCTTATTGATTAAGGAACGTGCATTAATTAGCAATATCGTGAATAAGTCACGGGATACTACAAACTGGCTTAAAATGTCACCATAACCTAAATCTATTTGTGCGTCAGCACCGCAAGAGTTTATGAATGAAAGGGAGGTCGGACTGGGTGCCTGTACATCGGGATTGGTGTGCAATGAGGTGGTTCTAGGTGCCATAGGTCGTACCAGTGATTCGGGATACCTGGAAAATTTACGTCACAATGGCGCATCCTGCGAAAGGGTCCAGGTATGATGTCCTCGCAGCAGCAACCGCCCAGTTTTACAACACTACTGGTACAGTGCCAGCTAGCCTTCAGTTAGCGACAGATATTTCTTACTTGGTAACCAACCAGCCAAGCTGCACCATTGTTGTTGCGGATATTCCGGAGGGTTGTACAGAGAGAGATTTAATTGGACTCTTTAGCAGATTTGGCCAAATCAAAAATGCAAAGTTGGTCTGCAGTGGTCGAGCAGCTCTTGTTGAATTTTGTGAGATCTCACCTCCTACTCGACTTGTCCATATGGCGAAGATTAATCCTTTTTGCGTCGGTCCAAACCGTGTTAGACTGGAATTCTCATCCGAAGTTATAACTCCTGTTGACCGTAAACATCCACATCAATCACAGTCTTCAACCATAGACAATAGTAGTCCTACTCGTATTCTACACTTGGATATCGCAAATGCTGAGTACCCCATAACAGTTGATGTAATCAAGGCAATTTGTTCTCCTCATGGAAACATACTACGTACTTTTATTGGGAAAAAGAACCTTGATCGTTCCTTGGAAGCTTTAGTTGAATTTGAGAATGTGGAAGAAGCCCGAGCTGCAAAAGAGCAACTCGATGGTGCTGACATATATTCTGGCTGTTGTAACCTAACAGTTGGATATTCGAGATTACAGCGTGTTCATGTAACACAAAATGATAGCGAGTCTTGGGACTTTACGGGTCCAAGCGGAAATGTTGAAGGACCTCTTAATAATTCTTCGACTCAGCGTACGTTACTTGGCCCAGCGGCCCCAGTTGGTGGATTAACTCCAGCTCCATCAATATTACCACCACCTGTGCCTGCTGCTCCACTCCCAGTATATCCTGCCCAGCCATATCAACAACCCTAGCCACCTATGGGTTATTATGGGATGGGTCCATACACTTCTCCGGTGTGTGCTGTCCCACCTGGCGCGCAGTTCGCGGCCCCAGCATATCCTGGATACTGGCCAGCAACTATGATCCCACCTGCTGGTGTCCAACCTATGCGACCACTTGACACTGGCTTCACTACTCCATCAAGAATTGTCATACTTCCTACTCCACCACCTGTGCATCAGGTAAACACTAATGGGGTTGGGATAGGCCATTCAACGTCGAATCTATCTATTTCAACTCCAGCAACTCGTCAATCAGATCTTTCAGTTTTTGAAGCTATTGAGGGTGTAGTGTTAATGGTTAGCAACATACCGCAGCGTGTGAATTGTGATCACTTATTTAACCTCTTTTGCCTGTATGGCAATGTAGCACGGATCAAGTTCTTAAAGACCCGTCCTGGTGTCGCCCTAGTTCAGGTCGGGAATCCAGAAGCAGCAGATCTTATACATCGATACTTTAACGGAGTGTGCGTTTTTGGGAAGAATTTACAACTTCATCACAGTAAGATCACAGAGCTAAAAGAGCACGAGAATCTGGGGACCCTATCGGACGGATCACCGGTTATGAAGAATTATATGATGGATCCAAACAATCGATTTAGAAATTCAATGGTGGCAGCAAAAAGTCGGATTTTGGAACCTTCTCGTACACTTCATTTCTTCAATGCTCCACTTAACTCTACACCAGAAGATATTTGTAGAATATTCACGGATAGTGGTGCAATGGCACCACCGCGTGTAGTGATATTCACGACTAAAGAAGGCCAAAAGACTTCTCTTGGATTAGTCGAATGGGATACCTTAACCGAAGCACTAGAGGCCTTAATTCTAGCCAACCATCGACCAATTCATTTATCCGGATTTACTCATCCTTTTCATTTGAAAATTGCCTTCAGTCCAAAGCCTATATCAGAGGATAGAGCTGGTATCTCATTGATACGTTATCCTGCACCACCGCTGACGTCTACTCAATATCATCATAATTCATTGTCCGCTAACGGTCAACGAACTGTAGAGAAGTCGAATAGTGTTAATAATGACGAACCAGAAGATGAATTGGAAATTCTTTCGAAGATAGAGAAAGCTGAAGGCTGTGAAAACTCTGAATCAACAAAAACGGCTTCAGATACCGCAAAATCCGGTTCAACTAAATCATCGAAAGATGAAGAGTCTAAGGCTGGATCGAAAGTCACGGAGAATGGAGATAAGGCATGATAGATATATAGCTTATATTTATATACATATACACGGTTTATGTTTTATCTAGGAAAAACGGCTTTTCCACTTTAGTTAGACTATAATTTCCTTCCCATCCTCCCCAGCAATGTTTATTATCAGTATGATCATATACGAGTTAATAATCGTTCAGTTTATTTCCACCTCATGCCTAACTTATGCATCATGTGTGTGTATAGGGATTTAATGTTTCTCCGTTGCATAGAACTCGTGTTTACGAAGGTTGTAATGTTGTGTGCCAATAATTCTTAAAAAGCTTCTAACTGACTAGTTAGTAAATCTTGTTTTATTATTTCTATAGGGGTGAGTGTATTAATATGCCTACTGCCTTTATTTTAACACTTATTTAATTACTATCTTTGCTCACTGATAAAACAGGCTTCACACAAAGACTCGGGTTCATGTGAATCATGTCTCTTAATCATCATTCGTAGTTATTCATTAATCATTCATGTTTCCTGATGTATTAATATTAATGTTGATATTATTACTAAATATCTACTATCTAACACCCTTAATATGTTCGTTTATTATACATTACCAATAAAAAAAAAAGATAGACGATGGTAAATTGAATATTTGCGGTAATGATCATGATAGTGCACATTTGTCTTTGGTTGATCATGATGAGATGAGGGGAATGCCTACTACTGCTAAGTTGAATAAAGGTTCTGTACAACTTGAACGTGAAGTAGAATTGAACGCAGATGCAGTTGCAGAAGTTATGGATGCTTGTGAGACCGTCAGTGTAACTGATCAGTGTGTAGCCCACCTATCATCAGATGATAGTGCTAAACCCGAACTGGTAGTGAAAGACAGCAGTGGTGGTAATCTTGCAGTTAGACAACTATCTGAAAGCCGAGCAACAACAGCTTCTGATCCACCGTTAAGTTCATCAACTGGTATCAATCAGTCGTCGTTGGTGTTGTCATCCACAATGAAACAGACGCCCATCAACTCAAGTATCTTGTGCAATGATTTTGATAGTATTGGTGCATTTGAAAAGACGAAAGATATTGGTCAGTTTAGTGAGGACAAGCCAAGTTCGAAATTGGTGACAATTTTGTAGGTGTTTGCTCTGAAATTTATTTACTGCTTATTCTCATATAATCCTTAAAATTATGGTCCAAATCTCTAAAAAACGTGTTCGTAGAAACACAGTTGTTTTAGATAGTGGGTCATATTCGGTTATAACTGCATTACCGCCTGGTAATACAGTATCAACTACTAGCTCTCAAAATGGTTTGAGTGCAGATCTCACTCCTGTGATACAGGTGAAAGATGTTCTGTTAGAGAACTCTGAGTTCTGTAAACTAAACCTCCTTTTGAAAGATATGCAGAGGCAAGTAAGTGAAATTCAGAAAAAATTAGATCAGTTTGATAGTATGTCACTGCCAATCTCAAATACCACGGAGAGCCGTTCTGATATTGGCCAGGTTAAGTGTTTACTGGATGTAACTCAAAATAAGCTTTTGAATTTAGACCCAATAGCCTGTCTTTTAGAAAGGCATCCTAAAATATCTCCAGACAACCTAAATAAAGCTGAAAATCTGATTGACTGCTTGGCTACGGAGGTGATGAAGCGTATAACCTCTTCTCACCAAGCTATAGTTTACAACGTCCCAGACTCTCTGCCCCTGAAAACTGTAAGACACAAAATCCTGATTTGTTGCGGCATGGCTAGTGTTCCATGTGAATGCAAACGACTTCGTAAAAAGTCTAACCAGGCTAATTGCCCAATCATTTTTAAATTCAGTAATTCCCTTGATGCTAGTAAGTTTACTAAATGTCAGGATCACTTAAGACTGAATAGCAGTTATAAGTCTATAACCGTAGCTCAGGATAAAACACCGTGTCAGCGCAGAATAATGCGTAGTAATAACCTGGTCACCTCCTCTAGCTTTGATTTACCAAATAAGGATCGTGCACAGCAACAGACACCTAGTGCTGAAACTAGCATTCAGCAAACTACACAACAACCACACCTGCCAATGGAACTAGGAACTGATTTAGATACCAGTACCCCTGTAAATAAAGCCTCATCGAAAGATGTTAAAATGACTAGAACTTCTGCAAGTTGTTCTAAGAAATTTCCCTCCAAACGTAGTAACCTCACCACGATGAACAAATTTCGCAGGGTTGAGACTAATGATGGGGAAGAATACTTTGTATTCAATAAGCCTGCTGAGAGTAAGAATGCCAACAAACCATCACTTGTTACGAAAAACTCCTCTCGAAACATAAGTATATCTGGAGGTGTTCCGCATGCTCCACCTTATAGAAAGTCAGGCTCCAAGACTCCTAAAGTCTTGCAGCCAAAGCACCTTCCTTCACAATTCCCTTTAAGTTATAAAAACAACCCGAAGGTGTGTACCGGTATGACGAATAGCAGTTGGATGGGTAGACCTTTGATGCTATGCCTTTTAACCGTCAACCTAGGCCCAACCTGTACTACCCTTATATCCAGGAACACATGGTAAATTTTCCAGGTGTCCCGAATCACTGGTACGACCCATGGCACCTAGGACCACCTCATTGCACACCAATCCCGATGTACAGACACCCAGTCCGACCTCCCTTTCATTCATAAATTCTTGCGGTGCTGACGCACAAATAGATTTAGGTTATGGTGACATTTTAAGCCAGTTTGTAGTATCCCGTGACTTATTCACGATATTGCTAATTAATGCACGTTCCTTAATCAATAAGATATCTGAACTAAGGACATTATTATTAGTCGCCAAGCCTACTGTAGCTCTGATTACTGAGTCATGGTGCTCATCCTCTGTACTTGATGTGCATATAGGTATCGATGATTACACTGTACACCGTGCAAACAGAGATTGCAAGCGTGGTGGAGGATGTCTCATATATATACATAACTCATTTGTAGTCAGTAAGGTGGAAGATGAAACAATGAATAATGTACCTGACTCACTCTGGGTTGTCTTACATGGAGATAAGTACAAACTTCTCATAGGCTGTGTTTATCGAGCACCAAGCGCAACAAAAGAAACTGATGCGTTATTAGCTAAATCGTTTGCACACGCATCCTCGTTTAGTGCTAATTACAAAATAATTGCAGGGGACTTCAATCTTCCAGAAGTCAATTGGCTAACTAGTTCCGGCCCCCAACGCTTCGACGAATTACTTGCCACTATCGACTGTTATGGATGGCAACAACACGTCCAGACACCTACTCGTGGTGACAACATGTTGGACCTTGTTTTTTGTCATGACACAATCCCAGTATCCACTTATGTTGGTAATAGATTTTCCAGTAGTGACCATAGAATGGTACTCTGCTCTCTGCCTTTCTCACCACTAAATACAGGAAACAAACAAGACTCAGGAAGCACAATATGTCGTAGTTACAAATATACAGACTGGGAATTAGTCCAAGAACTTATTCGACTCTGTCAATGGGATGACTATTTTACCACTGACTCCCTGGAGGCCGTAGTAACCCTGTTTTACAGGAATGTTACCCTTTGTCTAGATACAGTTGCTCCAAAGAAAATAGTGAAATTAAGTAGACACCGAGCTGAATATATTCCAAGCGCACACCGTAATAAGTTAAGGAAGCTGAAGAAACAGTACTATTCCACTAAGGATATATCACTATTGCTCTCAATCCACGAGTCTCTTGAATCTATCAAGCGCCTACGCTCTCAAAAGGACCTCGGCGAAGAGTTAACGGCACTTGAGCCTGCCACTATCTGTGAACTTTTCAGTGATTGGTTTGCAAACTTTAGTTAAGAAAAACATATGCCTGGTTAAACCGCCCCCTTACTAGCTCTTCCCTTGAAAGCATTGTGTTCAATAACCAACTAATAGTAGAAGCAATTAAAAGCCTTAAATCTTCCACTAGTACGGGACCGGATGGCCTCGCTTCGATAATTTTCAAAAACAGTGAGTGTGATATACCCTTGTTACTTCTTAAATTCTTCCCAATATCTATGGACACTGGCACTTACCCTAGTGAGTGGAAAACTAGCTTCATAATTCCACATTACAAATCTGGTGATAGGGCAAACGTCCGCAATTACAGACCCATAAATATAACCCCAGTTATCTCACGAATCATGGAGAAAGTTGTAAAAGATCAATTGTCAGACTACCTACTTAGGGAAGATCTTGTTACAAGGTCTCAACACGGATTTCTCAAAAATAGATCCTGCGTTACTTGCCACTTCGACTTTTTCAACTGCATCACTAGTAGTCGCGAAGCACGTAAGCTAGTCGTTGTTCTCTACTTCGATATATCTAGGGCATTTGACATGGTATCTCACAGTATTTTCTTTGAGAAGCTGTACTCTTGTGGAATTCGCAACCCATTACTGAACTGGTTAAAATCATTTCTAAGCAACAGGGTACAAATAACCAAAGTTGGATCTGTATTGTCTCATCCTAGGCAGATCTCAAGTGGGGTTGTGCAAGGTAGTGTCCTAGGTCCACTTTTATTCACAGTCTACATTAACAGCATTTGCAAGTGCTTCACCTCAGGTAAACCATTCCTATATGCTGACGACCTCAAAGTCGTCTACTCCTGCTACACTCATGAATTAAGCGATATGGTTACTAAAATACATCTTGAACTAAGTAGTCTCGCAACATGGTGTGCTGAATCCTGTCTAAACTTTAACATTGACAAATGCGGCTGGATTTGTATCGGCAACAGTAACCTTGATCTAACTCTTGAAATAAATGGGCGAAAACTAGCTAAGCTCAACTCAGTCGTAGATCTCGGTATTAGATACTCTAGTAACCTAACGTTCGCTGAACAGACTGATTATGCCAGACGTAAAACACGAAGGCTGATAGGATGCATAACACGCAATTTCTTTTGTTGTGAAACTAGGGTTTTATTATACAAAGTATGTGTCCGACCTATCTTAGAATACTGCCCGTTTATTCTTAGCGGACTCAGACAAAATGACAAGCTTAAATTAGAGGGAGTGCAACGGCAGTTTACCTCAAGAACTCTTGGTTTAGAAAGTGGTCTGGAATACCATGAGCGATGCGACAGACTAAGATTAGAA